ACGAGGCGAAGCCCCCCTCTTTTCGGTGAATTATAGCTGTGTCTCATCATGAGACTCTCATGCGGATACCTCCGGATACCCTCCAATGTTGACAGTTGCATACTAACTCGACACGTTCGATCATCATTCACACGATAGACATACCACGGCATGTGTCGATCACTGATCGGTGTTGAGGAAGAGAGCCACGCCTTGCAATATCCACACGCTCGGATGTTCTCGTGTGCCTGCAAGGCCTCTCGGCACATACATAAGAGCATCTACTACGTAGATTTGCCTCGAACACAAAGCCGTTGCCCATAGCATCCCGTCTCTTTGGCGTCAAATACACTGGTGTTGGTAAAGACTCGCGAAGCTTGAGACGACCGGCTTCAACTGGGATTATCTGCTTGCCACAACACTATGATACCCATGTCACGATGCAATTCTACTTGTATGAGGGGCATAAGCACAACGAGCTGCTTAGGGTTCTGCCGAGCTAACTCGCCCAGGCTAATATCCCAACGAGCTCCTTCCAGATACAGTCCCTCAACATACGTTCCAAAAGCCAGAGGCTCCGTTACCTCTTCCGGACTCATCATACCCGTGACCTTATTATGTACATATCGAAGGGCAGCTACCTTGAATGTTTCTCACTTGCGTATAAAGAGTCGACTTGTCTAATGGCCAACCCCTCTTGCGAGAAGCCGCTTGCACCAACGCCGATAATAACGACTCGGGCACGTGTAGCCCAGCTAGCCACATCACATGCGGGTCACCCTCCGCCATCCATCTTCCATACTGTTCTAATCTGTCGCCAACAAATACATCGGGACGATAACAAAACGCTCTTCGCTCCATCAGCAAAAAAGCGTGAGCTCTGGACGGCAGCCGATGAGACACCTTTGCTTACCTTCTCCTAAAATGGTCCATCCAACTCCCAAGTGGCTTCTCACTACGAGGAGCAAGCCTGGCCCAATGACTCGGGAGGAAACCATTGAATATGGACGTGCCCAGCTCGTCGAGCTCATTCGACATACCAATTTCTCCCACAAGCGCTCTTCCGAGGTCAATAAGCGACTCGTACCTGACCAGCCTCCTACAAAGCATCGAATCCTGAGTCCACCTTACATGCTGTTAGCCAGGGCATTGAAGCGATCAATCTCTTGTGAAAGAACAACTTCAGTAGGCGTAAGAGAGCCTTCGTTTTTCAAGAATTTCATATCTTTCTTGGGGATAGCCGCGATAATATCGCGGGCTGCAACCAAGCCCTCAATCGCTTAACAAATTGCGAGCTCTCACTCGTTTGCTGAATAAAACTCTCCCTCGACATGCCTCCTCCACCACTCGTGTCACCAGCTTGCATACAGAGTACGCCAAGCCACAGATCCTTAGCCGAATTAGAGAAATACCTAGCTCGAACATATCCCAACAAGTTTACGGCGATCCGGCACTCACGTAATTTCTGCATTAGGATGGAGTCCGAAGACCGCTGGTGACTGTGTGATCGGCAAAGCTCCTATCGACGCGACGTATCTAACACGGACTGAGAGTATCGACTAGATTCGTCCCCGAAACTCACGCTTCGACGTCCAGCCTCCCCTTAGGGACTGTGTAGTCATGACCAGAGCGGCTGAAGAAGAAATCTTGATTCTCGTCAAAGATGAAGTCGCCCATGTATTCTTCTAAATAAGTGCCTGATAATATAAAGCACGTTCTGATTGGACAGGAAAACACGGTAAGCACGAGCCACCGTTTGGTTGGATGCTCAAGTCGTTACAACAACTGCCTTACACAGGACCCGACGATCATAGTTGTCGGTCACTCTACCGCCATACATAGCTTCTCCGATCAGATAACGCATTGTCTCCCATGGTAGAGGATCATCGCTCTCCTGAGCTTTATCGATATATCTAAGCTCACAGGCCTTCAAGATGGATGATAATATCAGCTAAAATATTAAGCATTGTACAGTAGCGAATTTCGCTGCATGGCTCGACTCCGAGAGGCGTGGAGGCGCACTATATCCCGTTGGACTATCTGCTGAGTTCGCAGCCACACTCTTATACTGGGCTTATCGAGTGTTGGAAGAAGTGCTGCTATATGAACTAATATCATACTATCATTAATATTACCAGAGGCAGTACTAGAGTATAAATAGATAGAAAAATTCTCATACTAGAAGCACAGTAATACTGCTGCGCCAATGTCATAATGACATTGGCGCAGCAGTAGAATGACACAAGAATGACATTGTCATTCTTATACCAATAATACTATCACTGAATCGTCGGATGATAAGAGCAGTGACGTGTAGGGCTTACAGCCTCAATAGCTGGAAGGATATCTTGAAATCGGATTCGTTGAAATCATAAGGAACGTTCCAGCCAATACTGCCGTATTTTCTGCGATCCTGAACAACCGCATGGAAGAACGCCAGGACAAATATAAGTGGTTTGAAAGCCTCGTGGGTACCTGATCCGCGAATCGAACCCGAGTCAGTTCTCGAAACATCTCTTACACTCGTCGAGATCTGCATCAGTTATCTTAGCATAACTCTGTTTCATATTCAACTTCAGTCCGTCCGGTGGCTCAGTGACAACCTTTAAACTCCGCTGTAGAATACCCAAAGGAAATGCTTGTGTCGGTTGTGTCGTCAACCACAGTCTACCACGGAACATCACCAATACAAACTCACACACATATACCTGAAGTCACTATGAGGTTTGGTCATTCCCTCGAGTATCGACTCCAAAGTCCTCAGCCATCTCGTTAGAAGATGACAATTCTGTAACATCACCCAGTGCCCTCGATGATACCTATACAGCGATGCTCTTCTACAGGATGAGCCCATCCGAATTCCAAGCCCACCCAGTTTCGATGCTAGACTGTGCGACAGGCCCCATGCCCTGACCAAGTGCTAAGAAGCGGAACTTGCTTGGAGCAGTAAATCCAAGTTTCTCGCCGAGCTGTTGGACCTGATTTACGCCGCTCTATTTAAGGAGCACACACCACATCAGTCGTTCACACATACATCACTCTGAGGATCCGCACCAGGAGACAGAATGAAGACAATCGGACTCTTCTCATTAGATTGCTGGAAAATCTTATCATATACCAAAGACGGTGGTTGAACCTATCAAAAACCAGCTAAAAGCGAGGGGTAAATTCCGTTCAGACTGCGAAATCTCCAAAAGACTCAATTTCAATTGCCGCCGTTGAAACTCACATAGTATTCTCCAAGTCGCCACATTATGAAGTTCTTGATGGCATTAACTACGCGATCTGTGCGCAGACATCGTACCTAGCAAACCACCAACTGCGAAGTTACCAGACCAATCCCGGCCCTGCACTTACCACGAGCAGCTGCTGGAACGGATCACAACTCTCGTCGTATCCCATCGGCATTGGCGAACTCTCCGGCTGCTCCAAATCGAACCATGTCTAAAAAGACGAATTTTCGATCTTGCGAGAATAAGAAAAATGCTCAGTCCTACTTTCCACAGTTTGCCTCCTTCTGCACTGGACACATCATCGATTATATTCTCAAAGCATTCTCCAAGACTCGGCAGCACCTATCAAAACCGATCCCATATATTCCCATGCACCAGAGATTATCCCACCTGCATGTCCTTCCAACCGGCATCAGGCAGCCAGTCGGGATGGGGGTTCGGTATAGCAACCTTACATAAATAAACACTGTCAGCAGTGTGGACACATAAACTCATGACCAACTACATGTGAGGGTGACAATATGGAAATTCTGGAGGAATTCTGAGAAATCCTCATTGGCTTCTGTACACTTTACCCTAATTTGTACATAAGCTCCTACAATTAGTGAGGAAACTTCCAAGCTCAGCCGAATGGAGCAAACATATTTCGCAACACTGTTCGCACTAGCAATCACAGAGTCCTCTCAACTATCAGAGCAAGCGCGGACGAGAAATAATAATATCACTTCAATGAAAGCTCGCTTGAAATTTTGGTAGATATTTTCCAAAACTTCAGATAATACTCATTAGCCGTCGTTGAGGGGAAAGCTGAGTTCCCGATATTTCTTGCTCTATCTCACCTTCTCTAGACTTGGATTGCCCTTGAGGAAAAACTCGTGGTCCTGCATGACGAGCTCCTTCTCGCCGTCCATAATCATGCACGTCATTTGGAAGGAAAATAAAAGTTTATGTCGCTCGAACAGCTACACATCAACACATAACAACATATCGCCATCCAACGCTCCCTTCCTACCCCCATGCACGTGAAGTCATAAACGTTTTGAGTGAGCTTTTCTCGGACGTTTTTCAAACGATTATCGATGATCTTGTCAGGTTTCGCTTCTCGCAACGCCTAAAATGGATATCCATCGAGGACAACCCATCCCCAACCTCTCACCTGCTCGAACACAGCCAGATAAGAGCCGAGCGAATACTCGTACATTTCCGATATGGCACTCAGCCCTTGCGTGGCGAAGTACCTATTTAACCAAGCCAAGATTGATGAGCAACCGAACCCTGTTCCCATCCTTACAGAATACTCCCTCTCTTGGCCACCTCTGAATATATCTCCCGCATGTTGTCAATTTCAACACTTGTTCGTGCGGCCGTTTCGAGGGCCTACCAGACAACATCTCTGGCGGGGATCCAGTACGTGACAGATACCGATACTAACGTGAGTATGTAATGCACTCCATATCTCGAAAATTCCTCCGAACACTGTGTTGAACTATATATCCTCTTTCTTTAACTCATCTTAGCCGTTCTTTAACTCACTATCACAACTTACATATGAGTTCGAGTATAAGTGTACCGAAACCAACAGAACCCTCAACCTAATTCCCTCCAAGTTTTCATATTTGTATCACCAACACATGTAGTTGACCACGAGCACATTTTCCCACAGTATAATCATCCGACAGCCCCAGAAGTCCAACTCACCTCTGTTATCTCTAACGCCTTCGTCTTGGCTGTTTGCAACGTCTGTATCAACTCCTCATTGTCAAGAATCGATCCTACATACAGCGCTTCGTCAACAATTACTCAGAATCCTCTTTCCCACCTTTCGAAGCCGCGAGCTCCCTCAATAAAGTGTCCTCCAGATTCTTCTGTACCTGATACCACACGCCTCTCAAATCCACTTGAAATTGAGCAACTATGACTTGTCGATTTTCACTCATAGACTGCACCAACTGCTGCCTTTCCGCTTGCAAGTCCGGCCGTTCAAACCCAACCACCACGTTCAACAACTGCGCAGCTAGCCCGTCCAAAGTGACCTATAACATTTGTAGACCGGAGCAATGCAGACTCGTCACGATCGCACCTACCGTGTAGTTGATGATCGACACCTTCCCCATAATCTCAGGGGAGTATCGCGGGTTCGAAATGCGTGTCGTCATAAATAAAACGAATGTGTCCGACCATTCGATAGTGTTGTCACCAAGTGTAAGCAACTTCTGACCATTTTGAATAACATACCTGCAGTGTGGGAAGATATGCACATGGTCAACTACATATATCGGTGACAATATGGAAAATTTGAGGAAATTTCGGGAAGCCGCTGTTGATCTCTGATTCACAAATTCTGAATACTCGTATATAACTCCCTATAATTAGTGAGAAAAGTCCTGAGCTCAGCTGAGGAAAGCGGACGTATATTTCAACACAGCGTATCTGCCAATACTCTCCCAAACACTTCTCACCTCTTCTCCAGCACAGGATCAATCATCGGATCTATTTCCTCGTCGAGATTCTCGAACAGGAAAGGCTTGCCATATTGTATAGCCAGCTCGAGGTACCTAAACCGGTAACAGTGAGCTTCGCCGCATCCTCCAAATCACTTACTTAATATACTCATCATTGAAAGTCTTTACCGTCAAGCCACCATTTGTTCTCTCTTCCTTCTTCTTTAGCCACGTCACAGCTTGCATCTACAGTCACCATCACATTCAGCTATAACGCGAGTCGCGTTACGCGATAGACCGCTATGCAGTCCGTGCCAATTTGATATTCAAACGTGAAGGATGTGCATTTTCTATTCCGAGATTAATGATAGTGATCAATTTTTCGCTATCACAGTCTCAAAAGGTTACTTTCTTCACATCACATGTTTATAGCAATGTTCATGCGATATATTTCTACATCGATTCTCATGAATCTCGGAAAATAACACACATTTTTCACATCCCCATCTAAAACCGACATCCTCTTCGGACGCCGACTTCGGCAAGTACACCCGTCCCCGCCAACCTGAGGGTCCACGCAAAGCGGGAATCGGTTGGTCCTGGTCGTCAATATGCCATTCTGGACGCTGAGCTCGTCACTAGGTAGCCCTTGAGAGCTCCACAGTGTCACCTCTACATCAGACGTCAATAACGCTTCCAATCTGAAGGGAACAAACCTCCAATGGAAATACAACAGACCAAGATTCGTACTTGAAGTCCCTGCTAGTCGGTATGTCCGCTTCAACGACTCTACCAAGCCAGTCACCGTAGAGCATCTCATTTCTAAACTGATGATTGAATGGTCCCGCATAGGAAATAAAGGCCGACCCAAGGAGGCAGTCCCCAACTAGCCGAACCTTCTTATCACCTAATCAACACCGACCCCTAAAACCGGTTGGAATGAGAGAAACTCTATATCAAACTCTTATAATATCAATCTTATTTTCCACAATGGTAAATATGGAACATTCTGATTCTATATCACCCTACTAGGAACAAACATTAAGTTGTTGATGAATAATAATTATCAAAGTCAAAAAGTTAGTCAAGTAACCAACTTAACAAATTCATTTCTCACCGCGAGCGCTACCCCCAGCTTCTCAGCCAGCTCAGTTGCCCACCTTGTAGAGTGATATCCGTTGACCATCTCTTCCTTTCCGACGCCAAACCATCGATCAGCTTCGATGCAGCCTCCAACTTCCTCTGCATCGCCTCCGCTTCCTCCTCCAACGACTTCAATACCGCACTTTGCTCAACTTCCTCCTTGCTCAATCTTTCAATATTCTCAGCTAACGTCCTCAGCTCTTCGTTAATCCTCTCCAAGTTAGCCTCCGCTTCTTCCTTCTTCTGTGTCAGTTCCGCCACCAATTTCCTCTTTGGCTCGACCGTCCTCGCCACTTCGTGATACTTGATCATCGCTTTCACCCACTGCAGGAGGCCAAAGCCTGCCTTGGAGATATTCTTCATATTATCCCCCTCGAAAACATCCTTATCCTTAGCAAGGAGCTCCTTGATCTTCTTAATCTGACATACACATCGCTCTGCAAGCGATACGCCGAAACCTCCAATTCGAGAGCCTTTCCCGTAAAACTTCCTCAGAAATCGAGTCCTATTATCATCTTCTGACGGAGTGTTAGAGTATATGTCCGCTTATCTCAGTTGAGCTCAGGAGCTTCCTCACTAATTATAGGACTTCATATACAAATTCAGAAACCAGAAGCGTACAGAAACCAATGAGAATTTCCAAAATGTCTCAAAATTTCATGCGAAAATTTTCCCACACTGTTCCGATGAGCACCACATCCACTGCAATTCCCAAACAAAATCCGTCACTTCACATGACCATCCCGTCCCACCTGACGGTCTTTCATATCGTCCTTCTTGTAAACTTGGAGAGCTCTCAAAAGACTAACGTCACTGAGCATCTGCTTAGCCGCGGCCCAGCCTGACAATACGACCGCTGCCCTCGCACGAACCCCCCCTTATCAACTCAGACTCCTACAGTAGCCACATCACTAGTCACATACGGTACCACTACGGAAGCTTTACCACATATAATATGAAAGAAAATTTCGGAAGCTGAATTTTTAAGTGACCAGGGCTTGTGTCGAGGCAGATCGTACATCGTTAAATAGGACTACGAACTCCTGATCGATTGGTACCAATTCTATTTCAATAATCGACTGACGTTTTCTGACCGATCTGTACTACAAGTCAACTGTTGATGTTACCGCAAGATCCAGTTCAGTTAACTCGCTACCTCCGTTTTCATCCTCCCTTCCCAGAGGCCTCAAAATGAGCACACATTGACACACAGTCATGACCGGTGCCGGCGGGCTCGCCATCGACTTTATTTCTGTGATATCCTTCTTATCCAATTCCTCCAAAGCCTTGGCCGCCATCTCAAGTGCAGGTAGCGCTCTGAAAAGATTCATCACGACAGAGACAATCCGATATTAAATATTTGAAACTTCTCGACAAAATACCAGAATAAATCCACTAAAAATACCGAAGACAACCACGTGCTATAAATTTACTACAATATTTTACCAAAAAAACGCATTTTCCCCAGACGAAAATCCTTCTCTTTTGTTATGAAAAAACTAAGCAGCATGATATGATCACCGAAATGACTTCGAGAGTATTCCATGACCCCCACGAGACCTCCAACTTGTTCTTCTCAACACATTCCGACTCTCTCGAATGACGAGATTTGAATGAAATTTCCTCCTCGGACACCACAAGAACAACACCGCACCCCCTCACTCAGCTAGTGCTGTATCAGCATCTTCCTTCTCCCGTTGGATGATGACGTTATCATCAGCAATTTGCTTAGCCTGCTCATTAGCCACCTTTTGATGCTTCGAAACCGTCATCGATTTCTCATTGATTTCTTCAATCAACGTACCAACCGCCAACGCCTTCTCATCCACTATCACTTTCTTCGCCGCTAGATCCTTACCTAAACGACGAGGGATAATTCCTCCCCGATCCCCAAGGCTTTCTCCGCTTACTCATAATTGTCACTTGCTCTGCTGCTTGTACCAGTTTGTCCAGCCCTCCTCCCAATCGCTGAGTTTGAGCGTCGATCGTCTTACGATTTTTAGCGAGAAGGTCTTCGTATCCCGAGAGGAAATCCAGATAGTTCTTCGGCGTAGCGAAATTGCGCCTCTTAAATCTGCGACGCTCAACATTCGGCCAAACCAGCCGAGCCAAGTGGACTCACTTAGCCTCAAAATCCGGACTGTACTTGGTCGTCACCGACAGATGGGCTTCGCATATGAAGTGATTAATATCCTCCCTGTTCTCAGCAGGAATATCACACCTGAGAGGAGGTACCCGGTTCGAATCCTCCACCCGTCATTTCTCACTCCGCCAACAACTGAGTTGCCACTGCCAAGAGAGCGTCATTCGGCCACGGCTCAAACCAGTCGATTGTCGTACACGTGACCAGACCAGGGAAGTTTCTACAGCGAACTCTAAGAGCGCTCCCGGCTGGGCTCATTGCCAATACCATATGCAATTGAGATCTTATATGGTTAACCTGATAGGCATACACACATATCCACAACATGGACATTTTATGCAACCAACACACTGTCAATTTATTTCCACAACCACACCCTCAACTGTCCATCACTAATATTAATAAGCCATCAACATCAACCAGAAAAGCAACTTCGCACTGACTGCTAAGATTCTCACCGCGACCCTTCCCCCACCCCACACTCACACAGTAGGTCCACATACGACTCTCACTCACTCCTTCAGCCTTCGCTTTACTCCTCACCCCCGATATCAACGATTCCTTCTCATCATCAGCAAACAATGCCGGCACCATCCCTACCGTCAACATGTTATTAATATATTCCAAAAACCCTTCCTCAACCACATTGGCATCCGTAAAAAGGAACGTCTGTGGCTTCTTCACCGCCACTTGATACAGCGCTTTCAAATCCTCCTTCAAATTGCTGTCCCCATACCCTCGACAAAGTGCAATCTCATACAACTCCTGCTCAGCCGCAAACGATGCCAGCTTAGTCAGACTCTGCTTCCCCAACCCCCCAATTCCCACCAACAGCGCATTCCCCTGCGGGAGCCGCAGAATTCGATGAATCCTGGCCATATGCCGCATAGCGTCCACAAATAATACCAAATTCATACCACTCCTATCTGAATTGTATAATTCCAACACCGCCAACAGTATCCGATTCACTGCTTCCCAATCTCGCATATCTTCATAAAGCCGCACCTCTCCCGTCGGCTCGTCCGCTTCTAATATACCAATAACGTCTTTAAAGTCCCCAAACACCAGTGGTTCCCTCAACACTTCCTCCTGACACTCCGGAAATTTAGTCTCGATGACTGCGCCCAGCAATTCCTCCTCCACATACTCCCTCTCGCTGCTGTCAATCAACCGATCGGCGTACACGCGAGTGAACTCATGCCGCCACAAACGGACCAACTTCGCACCTGTGGTCACCACTTGAGGGTCGCCCTGACAAACTCCTTGATAAACCCGCGACAAATCGCGCAGGTTGAATATGTAATGGAACTTCGACGGACTCCTCGGCATATTCTCCACCACTTTTCGATGCAACAACAAAGTCACTTCGGGAAGCCTCAACGCCATTTCTCTAACCTAAAAACACATCCAATACTCCTGCATCTTGCAATCTTGCATTTCCTCAACGCACCTCATCCCCGAACAGCACAAACATTCCCCTCAGTATCGAGCTGTATATCTTATCAATCGTCTCCGTTGACGGGAAGGTGATCCCTATCGCACAATACAGGCTGACCACCCTCGGATCGATCGAATTCCTCCCAGCTCCCGGAGGCTGCATTGCCGCTATATACTCAATATCCTGGATCACAATCCTCTCCAAATCGCCTCCTCGCTCATACCTACCCCTAATCGTCACGCGCCACAAATTTACCTCCTCCTATCCCCCCTTACATGAAACCTTTCTCCACAACAAACTTCAGTAAAGCTAGCGGTTGCTGAGTACCGTACTTGTCGATCTTCGGCATCGAAAGATCATCCACAAAAATACGCAAAGTCTTGCCCTGTTCTGGTCCAAAAACCCGACCTAATCCAGAGACGATCAGTCCAGTACTTAAAGTGCTACGCTAACCTGTTCTCTTGAAGATATTGTCCTCAATATTCCGCTGGAAATCCGCCGAACTCGTCCGACTCGAAAAGTTTATCAGTAACATCAAACTCGTCTCCACCGGGTCCGCCTCCAGCGAGTTGATGATGGTCACCGACTTCGCCGTCCCTACGAAAACACGATCATCCAGAGGAGACCAAACCCGGCGTTGTACCAGATTCCCCCACGAACAAGCACGGCGCCTTCACCTTGGCAAACTGCGACCTCAGCCAGGAGTATCGTGTCGTATCCACCGTGGGGACCAATATCGAATTGAAGTCTCTATCAGGCGAACCCTCCTCGTACTCCATCACGCGCTCCTCCCACGGCACCCACGCTTCACCCGTCGTATTATACAGCATCTCATAAAGGGATTCTTTCGGCAACTCAATTGAATCAATCCCGGGAATTTCATGCTTTTTCACCACCATCTTGAGGAACTCATCAAACTGCTCCCGCGTCCTCTCCTCCAGCACCGACCCGAGCGACCACACCATAGTGAAGACGAAAACCGACGCCACCGTCAGCGGCTTCATATGACCAACCTCTCCCCCAACAATACTGTCGAAAATTTTGCTCAGTTGGACGACATAATCCGTCCCAACCTGACTGCGGGGTAAACTCCCAGCGAGCGGACCGTCCGCAAGGACCTCCCCGTCAACTCTCCCATCGCAGAGGAGAGCCAAACACGGCCTCACCCACTTCTCAAACCTAAAAGGGCACATATCGGCGGAGCAAAGCGATTCCGTTCTTCCTACATCTCCATCAGAATCTTTTCCACCTTATCTCCCTTTCCTCGCGCCCAACGGTCATAAAATGGCCCCGGCCCCAGGTCCTTATCGTCCACATATACCATACCGCACCGAGAAATCGTGGCGGGCGATGCGTACTGCAAGTTGTCCACTTCGAAGAGCATGGCGCAGTGCTTTTCTAGTCTTATTCGCTCACCGTTATTGAGTGTAAGAATTTTATTGTCGTCCATAACGGAGTTCATATTTTCGACCCAAACCGCATCAACATCCCCATCATACAAAATGTATCTTTTTTCCTCTCCCTTCCCAGCCGGGATCGGTTGGTTGATATCTCGAAATATTTTACTCAATAAACCGTCCGTCCAGTCCCTTGTTGCCGGGTCCAGCACACCATAGAGCTCATTCACTGTGACCATCTTCGGGTTGATCGGATAAAGGTGAGTCGGAGTATCAAACGCTCGCTTCTGAGCCCCAGCAAGGCACTCTATAACCGCCGACTTCCCGCTCATTGTCTTACCTACACACCAACATACGATTGAGACAAGCGCAAACAAGCGATGGCAACCACAGGCTATGTCAACCTACCAGCGCTTACCAAACATAGAGCGATCGGAACGCTATCAGAACGGAATTCCCGAGGCGAAATTATTCACTTATAGGTACTAGGAGACAGGACGGCGACCCTCCCCCTAAATTACCAACAACCATCGTAGTGTGCCTGGTCAGCATCGTCTCGTACAACTGCATGATCTTATCCACTTGCAAGGCGTAAAGATCTTCATATCGATGCTTCATACTGCGACTCTCCAATTCCTCCTCAATCGCCTTCTTTAACGTTGGATACCCAACACGTGGACATTCTAGACCCGGGAACAGATCACTCAACAACCCCTGGAGAGTGGTACCTGCCAACCTCAACTATCACACACATCCAATCAC